CAACGCAATCCAAAGATACCATAAGACAAAGTAGAGATCTTCTATAGACCTCAGTTTTTGTACTCCAGCACATGCATGAGAGTACAACACTGGTGTGGCTCCTGGCAATTGAAGTGCCAGGAGTCGAAGAAAACAGTAGTATGAGGATGGTGGTGGCAGCAAGGGACAGCCTGAGGTAAGTAAAACTCACCAACCTTGCACTGTGCAGTCACCGGACCCACATCAGGATTGCCAGGGTTAAAATGACAGGATCACTGCACCCAGACCACTTCCTGAACTGGGTGACTTTAGAAGTTCTTTAACAACAATAATGTGTTTATTCTGCTTATTTATATTATTATATGACTTAACATTATGCTAGAGGACATTTATACAAGATTGTCTGTTGCCTCCTTGATATTGTAAAAAAATGTTTACATAGGAATATGCAAATATTAGTGACAGTGTTGTATTCACTGAACAGTGGCTTGTAGTGAATAAATCTAATTTACTACTACTTTTTGCTCAAATGAATTGAGCTAGAAATATTCTCACTCTTATAATTATATTCTCTAATTTGTATTTCTTCCTACACTTTGCAAAATATTTTTTCTTTAACTCAATTCACTGTTTAGTAACATTGCAGACATTTAAATAGTTTCTATCTACATGTAATAGATGCAAAATGTGAAATTAGGTATCGCTTACAACATGATTTAAGAGCAAATTGTTTAAAGAGAGAGGTCACAGAGACTGACAGTGGAAGTTGATTTAGAAAGCTATAGGTCATTCACAATACTCTCTTCTAATAAGAATGACAACATTCTGAAGTATGATAGGAGCTGCATCTTTTTTGATCTACTCCCACCCCTAGGTCATCACTGCTTAGGAGACAGATGGCTAATCTTTATGAGTTCTTAAATTTTACCATTGCAGGCTTTCACTAATCGATGAGAAGTCCTTGTGGCTATCCCAATTATGATCCCCACTGTTCTCTGTATTTTTATCAAATCATTTTAATTGATTGCTCACTTCAGCTGCACTCATCCTTATATCATATGAAAGCCACAGGGGTGCTTTAATCGTCTCCACATTCACAATCCACTAAATCTACTATCTCTGTCTATTCTACCTGATGATTCACTCTTGGAGATAAAAAATAAAATGTGAAACAAATAAAAAATAGATTTCTTGGAGAAAATAAATAATTCTTTAAAATCTAATGTATATAAGGTATTTTTTTAAATATATATTTTAATGCTTAGCTTATTCATTAAATTAGTATATATTCTGCAAAAGATAGCTGTAGATTGTAGTGTCAGTTGCTATATCTGTTTTAAGATATTACACTAAATTTCTGTGAATACACTACAAAAAAAGTCACATAAGATTGAAATTTGTTTTCTACTACTGTTTGATATCGTACTCTAGTAGCAATTGATATATGAATATTAATATGTCACTTAGTCTAGTAAAACTGATATTCTAAAAACTGAATTTTAACTGTAACTATTGTGATTCTAAAAACTGAATTTTGACTGTAACTATTGTGATACAACAACCTCTCGGGACACCTGTCTCCAGCCAAAACAACATGGTCCTCTGCTATGGTATAAACAGCTGCAGACTTACAATTGCAAAAAAGAGCAGTTTTATTCAATAAACAAACATAAGCCACAATTAGAATTAACCCCTTAAGGGCAGAGGCAATTGTACTGAAGTTCTGAACAAAAGCAATACTTGGAGTTTGAGCTACATGTCTGTGCAACCACAATTTACCTCTTTCATATTAAGTGCACCCAAACTTATAATATATAATTTCACATCAAATATTTATATATGAAACATAATTTAAAATGAATAAAATCTAAACAAAAGTGTGAAATATTAAGAAACATTCTGCATGACATTTTAACTGTCAATGTCATAATACTGTCAGGTTTTACTGCAATAAAATATACATATTTGTATTCAGCAATGTCTCACGAGTACAGCAGTACCTCCCATGTACAGGTTTTGTTGGGGGGTTTGGAAAGCTACAGAGTCAAATATAGGGCTTTTCAGTTCATACACAGCGAAATGTGCAAGATTAGTTTGTTAGGATTATATTAATCACAAACCCTGGTCAAAGTTAAATTATATATATATAATGTATTTCAAAATGATACATGTTCTTTGATGTATCCCCACAAGTAAAAATCGCAGGGTGTAATGTCTGGAGATCTTCTGAGCCAAGAATGTAGCACCAAGTCTTGGAGTCCCATGTAACCTATCCTACATTGAGGCAGTGTGTCATTTAAAAAAACATTGAACCAGCAGGTGCCAATGTAGAGGTGCTCCATCTTGTTGAAAAATCAAGTAATTGGAAGCTTCGTTAAGTTGTGGAAAGGGCCAGTTTTGCAGAATTCCGAGATACGTTTGCCACGTAGATGTGTTTTCCTCAAAAAGAAAGGGCCATAAACCTGAAAGGACCTGCCAAGAATGGATTATATTGGCGTTGTGGCAGGCTTATGGAATGTATGATCATATACTGTAACTAAACACCCATTATTTTTGCCTAGGTGAGGTGTTTTAAAAAAAATACTATTACATTCTGTGAGCTTTGTAATTGCTGTTTAGTGACTGAGTGAGTGTGCTGGATCTTGTATGATATATATGTGTGCATGTCACATGACTCGGATTATTAGGATTGCAGGGGGTAGTCAGGCAGTCCCCCTGATTGAATCCAACCTTGTTTCATTGCTCCATTGTCCAGTTCTGATGCTCACGTCCTTGTTGAAGGCACTTTCGGTGGTGAACAGGGATCATTATGAGCACTATGACCAGTCTGTGGCTACGCCACTATTAAGACTTTGCGGCTGAATGGTCCTGTACAGGAGCGAATGATGTGTAGCAATTAGCATTGAGCTAACATTACGGTTTTTGGACCCTGGACCCGAACATGGACATTTCAGTGTATGTTCGGGTTAGAGTTCGGTGTTTGGCGATTTAATGGCGCGTTTTGAAAGGCTGCAGGGCAGACAATCAACAAGCGTTTGACTAGTTTACCGTTAGAAGCCATCACAGCCATGCCTACTAATGGCATGGCTGTGATTGGCCAGTGCAGCATGTGACCCAGCCTGGATTCATGTAAGCTGGATTCATGTAGCGCAGCATGTCACATGAGCTCTTATTAGTGAAGGGACAGGATGCTGCAGCTGTGAGGGACAGCTTAGGAAAGTATTCTGTTGTTGAATCTGCAAACTACAGTGATTATTCAAACTACAGTGATTATTTTAGTGGGTGCTATACTACATTTTTGTACCATGCCCTGAGCCCAGTGCCACCGAGAGTGCAATGCACTTGCAACTGCATGTGTGCCAGGCACATGACTTTAATCCTGTTCTGGTAGCTCAGTGGGCAACATCTAGGCATTTTTAAATACTGCAATTTTTGGGGTGCTAAATAGTACATTTGCATACTGCATTTCTTGCAGTCCAATAAAACCCTTAAATACTACTGTTACATTGTTGGTTTAAAAAATCACACTTTTTTGTGCTATATAGTACATTTGCGTCCAGCAGTGCACTTCATATCTGCGAGTCAAATAGAACTGTCAAATACTGTGCTTACAGCACACTTTTAAAAATTCTAATTGTTTTGGGGGCTAATGCTAAATAGTACATTTGTGTCCTGTGGTGCACTTCATATCTGATAGTCAAATTGAACCGTCAAACACTGTGCTTACAGCGTTCTTTGAAAAATTCAAATTGTTTTGGGTGCTAATGATAAATAGTACATTTGCGTCCTGCGGTGCACTTTATATCTGAGAGTCAAATAGAACCATCAAATACTGTGCTTACAGCGCACTTTTAAAAATTCTAATTGTTTTGGGTGCTAATGCTAAATAGTACATTTGCGTCCTGCGGTGCACTTCATATATGAGAGTCAAATAGAACCGTCAAATACTGTGCTTACAGTGCACTTTGACACATTCAAAAATTTGGGGTGATAAAAAGTAAATTTGGGGCCTGCACTTCATATCTTACAGTCAACTAGAACCGTCAAATACAAATATAAAAATATTGTAATTTGGGGGCAATACCCTCACAAGTCAAACTGAGAGGACTGTTTATAGGGAAAACTGTTGCCTGGATATAATTCTAAAACAATTCCCATATGTCCTTTGCAGAGTTTACATGCTGGAAAAACACAGGTGCCAACTGCTGTGGCTTTCTGCAGTGTGCAGACTGGCAAGGAGGGCAGGGTTGACTAGTGGGTGGAAGAGGATGCAGAGGATGATGAGGTCCTAGACCCCACATGGAATCAAGGTCATGCGAGTGACATGTGCAGGTTGGAGGAAGAGGCGCTGGTCGCACAGAGGCACCAGCACAGCATAAGAGGGAGCAGGGTGCAAAAGCAGAGCAGCTGTCCCCTAGCGCTCATCGGCATGTATTAGCTCGAGAATTACCACAGTTATCCAAGTAACAGATGGAGCGATCAAAGGATTCATAATAGATTCGAGCGAACCCGAATTGAGGGCAGCAGTCCAGTGACCAGGACCCAGACACTGTCTGGGTGGGGGTCGGATGACCGGGACCCAGTATGCCTGATGTTGAAGTTAGTAGTCACAGTGTGGAATGGATTAGCAGGGTCTGGTGCAGGGTAACCGCACGCCCCCTGGTGTTGAGCACCAGCGTTTGTGTGGCCACATACCAGGACCCTGATGCAGCTTCAGTAAAAAGAGTACTGGATACCAAAAGCCATCACCAGACTGATCCGCAACTTGGAACAGGATGTGCCATTCACTGTAGCGGCTTTGCACGCTTTCGGCGTTCTCACCCTGCTGCTGCTCGTCTGTCTGCATTGCAGCGTAACTTTGGCCTTCCCACTCACCGCCTCATATGCAACGTGCCCACAAGGTGGAACTCCACCTTGCACATGCTGGAGAGACTGTGCGAGCAACAGCAGGCAACAGTGGAGTTTCAGCTGCAGCATTCACGGGTCAGTCGCTCTGCACCAGACTTGCCCTCCAATTGTCGTCACTACCTCCCCGTGTCCGGAGTGGGTAATTTGCGCGCCTGCTGCCTTCCTTGGATGTGGTAGCCGTTTCTCAGGCTCCCTCTCTGGAATCGAACCCTGATTCCCCGTTACCCGTGGTCACCATAGTAGGCGCAGAAAGTCCATCGAAAGTTGATAGGGCAGACCTCCAAATGCGTCGTCGCCGTGCGATTGGCCCAAGGTTCTCTAGAGTCACCAAAGTGCCTGCGCAACTATAATGTCGACAGCTACTCTGCCTAACGGATCTTCACTAATAGGTAGGGGATGGTGGGGGGCCCTGTGCCGGTCCCTTCTCTTCCCTACTCTCTGGCAGACATCTGGCAGTACTGTCTCAGATCCTGAGAGATGTCTGGCCAGAAGAAGCTGTGGGTGAGCCGAGACGCTGTCTGGCTCCTGCCCAAATGCCCTGCCAAGGGGATATCATGAGCTAGCTTCAGCAGCTCATACCAATACTTCTTCGGTCTGGGGCTGGCGATCTCTCACCAGCCGTGTCGTTTGGGAGCCCATTGAAAAAGTGCTCTAGCATGACTAGCTGAGTGATCTCCTCCAGGAACTTGGCTTGATGGGAGTTGAGCCAGTTCTGGGTGGCCCTTGTGATGCCACAGGCTCCACACAAGTCCTGCAGTGTAGGTAGCTTTAGAGCACTGTAGTCCATAGGTCTGTTGGCAGGGACATGGGATCCCGCCGCTTGCCACCAATTGAAGCGGGACCTGGGTAACCGATGGTTATCCCCTTTGATTAGAATAGGTCAAACCCTTTTCCCCAGTAACCGGATGGGACACAGTTCCAGGATACAACGTTTGACAATCTTTATTTGGGTACACAGCTTTGCCTCCTGTTGCCTCCTCCTCCTACTCCGCTTCCTCCTCCTCTACCACCTCTTCATCCAGTCAGCGTAACACCTTCACCACCAACTTCAGCACAGCCAGGGGGAAACGACAGCAGGCTGTTTTAAAACTCATATGTTTGGGGGAAAAACCCCACACCGCTGTGGGCGGGCATGGAACAACAGACCGATGAGTGTTGTAACTGAGCTTCAAGCCCGGCCTGGTGGTGTGCGATAATGGGCGAAATCTCATAGCAGCTCTGGGCCTTGCCTGGCACATGTGCTGAATTTGGTGGTGCAGAAATTCCTGAAAAACTATCAATATATATCAGAGCTGCTGCAGAAAGTGCGTGCTGTCTGTGGGTGCTTTCGGCGTTCTCACCATGCTGCTGCTCGCCTGTCTGCGCTGCAGCGTAACTTTGGCCTTCCCGCTCACCACCTCACATGCGACGTGCCCACAAGATGGAACTCCACCTTGCACATGCTGGAGAGAGTGTACGAGCAGCAGCAGGCGATAGTGGAGTGTCAGCTGCAGCACGCATGAGTCAGTCGCTCTGCGGAACAGCACCACTTCACCACCAGTGAGTGGACCTCCATGCGAGACCTTTGTGCCATGTTGCGCTGTTTCGAGTACTCTACCAACATGGCCAGTGCCAGTGATCCACCTCAGCGTTCTCAGCCTTACTATCCCGCTTCTATGTCTCCTTGAAAAAACGCATTGGGTGATGATGGAAGAGGATGTGGCACAGGAGGAAGAGGAGGAGGAAGAGGGGTAATTTCCATGGTTATCAGGCCAGTCATTCAGTGGCTCGGAGGATGGGTTCCTACACCAGCATAGGCCAGGTACACAATTGTCCAGCATCTCCACACTGTCCCATGGACGCGTTCAGCTGTCCATTTCCCAAACACTGGAAAGAAAGAGGAAGTACCCCCCTAGCCACCTGCGATCCCTGGCCCTGAATGCCAGCATTTCAAAATTCGTGGCCTTTGAAATGCTGTCATTCCGTCTGGTGGAGACGGACAGTTTTAAAAACCTGATGGCGTTATTGGACTGCAAGAAATGCACTGCAGGCCGCAAATGTTTCTTTTTTTATATGTCCCAATATTTTGGGGGCTACCCCAATTAAAATATATATATATAAAAAACAGTGTTGGCTACCTCCTCCTCCACCGCTGCTTCCACCTACATCGCCACGGTCACCGCCTCCTCAACCTATGGGTCACTTAGTATAAACTATGTACACAACAGCAGAGGCTTGTGAAGGCCTTTTCTCCATGCATCAGGAGTTGAGCTCCAACTCTCTCTCAAATGGATAATTCTGTTGATCCTCCTGACAGCCATGCTTTAGATCAGGGGTAGGCAACCTACGGCACTAGTGCCATGCACGGCACTCGAGGTGCCTTTGCACAGCACTCAAGGCTGCTAGAGCCAAACTAGCTCTGGCCTATCAGTAGTCCCAGTAAAACTTCAGATATCTGCTTATACGAAGAGGTGGTGAAGGACAATCCTCAATTTATGCATTGCAGCACGTAGAGGAAGTGATGTCAGAGCACTTCATTCCAGCACTTGTGAATGGGAATCCACACAGTAGTAGAGCAGCTCGCAGTTGCTGTTGCAGCTCCTGTCCTTGACCTGTATCTGGCCGACCTGGTCCCCACTGGAACCCAGGGAAGCCACCCACACTGCTAGATATACACAGAAATGCAGAAAAACCCTCCCCTCATACAAATAATACGGACAGCCCACACACAAACATACACACAATCCGCTTAAACGCAACACCACTAACAATCCACATACATGCACACAACCCCACATGTAGCCTCTCACATGCAATACCCCAAACAGCCCCCACACATACACACACTACCAAACACACAATGTGACATATCCATCCACACACACAATTCCACAAGCAGCCCCCATACATAGCCCACATTCATATGTATCATACACAATACCATAAACTACTCATGAACATATACAATATAATAGTTTAAGTACGCACAAATACAACGATACAAAGCAATTAAAGTAAAAATAACACAAGCAGAATACGGCAGCAAACACACTTCAGTTTAAAAAAAATAGGACCGGCACGCTACGGGACATCACAATCCTATATCGGCCCAGTGCTGCTAAAAGGTTGCCTACCCCTGCTTTAGATTTTGATTTATGTTCTTCCAAAGCTAAAATCAAAGATTCCATCTAGTGCTATTTTATGGCTCAACTGTATTTTTAATTTTTATATATTTTATGTTATTTTAAGTGATTTCCCTATCCACATTTGTTTGCAGGGCACTTGTCCTACTCTTACCCCCATTTTACTTCATTTTGCAGCCTCTAGCCCTTTCCAGTACTTTTTTTAGAGGCATTTTAGTGCCCAAAAGTTCGGGTCCCCATTGACTTCAATGGGGTTCAGGGTCAAATTCGGGGTCAAGTTCGATCCCGAATCCGGACTTTTTTTCGAAGTTTGGCCGAACCCGCGGAACCCGAACAACCATTCAACTCTAGTAGCAATGTCCATTCTGGCATTTGTAAAAAGAGCTGATAACTGATATAATCACAACTTTCTCATCCTTGTCTATACCTGAATTTATTACTCTCATTCTTGTCTATCCATGACTTTATTACTCTCATTCTTAACCCACATCGTACATGTAGTTATTTAGCATTTACTTGCTTTTTTGGCTTTTCTTGGGTTTATTCCTTACAGTCTTTTCTTGGGTTTATCCTCTGGCATATCTATGCAAATGATTTTCCTATAGACAGAGTTGTTCACTAAAGTATGAATTGTCTGTAATTCTTTTTAGATTTCCTTTGAATTCCTGGCAGTTCACACTCTAGTGAATACTCCTGAGAGTGATCACATGATTCTAAATTCTGGGTAGCACTTGGAAGCAAATTGTGCTGATTCCAGAGCATAGTTGTAGTGGAGAGCTGGTCTTAGTAGGTAGTAGTAGACTCTTCTCCGCTGGTTTCTCCAAGATGTGCTCAGGAACAAAGAAGTTACACCAAAGGAAGAGCCAAATACAGCAAGACAAGACAAGATACTCCCAATACCTCCCCAGTATCTGGACGACACTTAGTTTTGGGGGAATAACTGAAGTGTTTTGCACTGCCTTTTTTTGTGATTTTCCCCACAAGGTTGATGCCCAGGTGGACTTTGTGGGGCACCAAGACACAAAGTAAACGAGCCAATGAAACAGGGTTATACACAGAGACACTCCCATACAGTATGTACAAGCCCTCCCCTCCGCCTGGTAGATAATTGAGATAGATAATGTCCAATTATCTCCAGGCAGGAAAATCACATATCAGTCAAATAATGTGTAAATTGCCAAACGGATCCGTTCGTGCATAGTGTTATTGTATGTATCTGGCCTGGTAGATTATTTCTACCGAATATCGCTTAGTTCGTGTATTTTTAAGTGAACTTAGGTGGAGGTGAAAGTCCCAGTGGTGTTTGCGCCGTCGAGTGTCCGATTTTAGTTGCATGCACTCGACGACCAAACACCGCTGTCTATGTTCATGTCCCAAGATGGCCGCCGCCACATGTTCGTCTATACGAACGGCGACCACCCAGCCGACAGCTGAGAATGTATGTGTTATTGCGGTTTATGGAGGTGTGAGCTGGGTTAATAAGCGGCACACTCCATATCTGGTTGGTCTGCCGTTCGGTAATTTGTTCGGTTGATGAATAAAACTGTGGGAACCATTTAGGGTAATGGTATTTGACGAACGGCCAGGCGAAACAGGGAAAACCTTGTGCATTAGTACATCACAAATCCCCAGAACAATGTTCTTGAAGTTGTTCAATTAGCACTATCAAGTCAAATTAATTGAACTCATTGTTATAAAATGTGTAACATGTGTTGCTGCAAAGTTATAGCAAAAATGTTATTTGCTAGTTAGCAAAACTCGGCCTAGACACCAAACAAGAAGGGTAAATATAATTAAACGTTACCAGAAAATGTGTTACTTATCAATCTCATTGTTACTTATCAATCACAAAACTGAAACCATTTACTTGAGGGCTTAGAATGCAAATTTAAAAAATGTTATGTAAAAGTTTTATATGGTTATACTTGACCCTGTATGGAGAAATTCAGATTTATGCTAAAAAAATAAATAGGTATGACGATTTTCCCATAATGACTATGATAAACATACATCGCAGCATTCTGGTGATTAAAATGTTATGTAACAGTGTGAATAATGTAATGCTGAATGAATCACATATCTAAATAGTTAAATCTCATCTACTCCAAGCTAATAAATCAATTTCTAAATTATTGATTAGAACTAAATTTGCAGTTTGTCTTCATGCAGATGCTGGATGATAAAAGGCTGTTGTTTGATAGCGATGAGAAAATAGAGTAATTGAAGTCCTTAGATAAGCATGGTCAACACATTCAATCCTTAACTGTCAATAAAATAAGGAGAGAAAGTTTATTTTATAACTAGTATTATAAGCAACCTTCATGATTAAA